GCCCAGCGGCGACCACGCGCGCCGCAGGCCCTTCTGCAGTCTCGTCAGTGATGGAGTCAGTGGTGTGAATGAGTGAGTGAGTGAGTGACGAAGTCTCTGCAGACGCCTGGGAGTGTGAGTGAGTGAGTGAGTGAGTGAGTGAGTGAGTGAGTGGACGGAGGAGGGGGCGAGGAGGACGGAAGGACCGGCGGATGCGGGCGGGATGCCAGCCAAAAAACTAGAACCCCACACAGAGATGTGGGGAAAAAACACCCCTCAATTAGAACACCATGTCCGAAACCCTAAACACGAATTATATCATGTTTTTTAATTACCGCCCTTCAAGCCGCGACTAAACTACCAACATGTTCGATTTTTGGGTAGGTTTTAAATTGGGTTCTGAAGGCAACCCTAACTGCCCACCTCTGTCCACCCTGTTTGTCCGCCATGGCACCAGCAGGTTTTCCTTTCCCCAATGGCACGGACTCACGCAAACGCACTTGCCACTGAGGCCGCGCAAAACGGCATGGCACAGCGACATCACCTCTCAAAAGCTTTGGTTGTTAGTCTAATGATGAATCATTATTTTGATAAAGGTTTTTGTCAAGGGAAAAGGAAGACCCTTCGATCCCGAGCTTTTTTCAATCGTTGATACGAGTTTGATAAAGAAGTTTATATAGAGTTTTCCTGGGTGACTTTTTGGCTTTGAAGCTCTTCCCAGGTGTCTGCACGAAATCTGCACTTCAAGCTTCACAGAGCGCTGCGCCTGCCAGGAAATCTGCATTTCATATGTAATCAACGATTATTCAAAAGGATCCTCCCACTGACCCTATTTTGGACAGCCCCGATTTCAGGGACCCCCTATTTTAAAAAATACATTCGAGTTTTTGTAGTACCAGTATTAGCGGGAGGGGGGGGCCGTGTTTTTGAATACGTGGAGCGGATTACCCCAGTACTGTATGCCCCAGTCCTGTCAGGCCGTGCACCACCCGAGGCTTGCACCAGCTGATCCAGTCGAAGCCGCTCCCCCTGAGGCTGAGAGAGGGGATCGGTCGAGGAGCGAATTCGCCATCAATGCGACTCAGGGCCAAACCGCAAAGCTGGTCACCTGGTGCAAGACCTGCACAAAAAGGAATTCATGCTGCGGGGTTCATGGCGAAGCTCGCTCTTTGGTTGGTGCGGTTTTGGATGGACAAGATTGAAATAGTTCCTTCAAATTGACATCAAATAGTTCCTATCTTTGTGTGGCTTTGCAGGCAGGCCTCACGAAAGGTGTCAGTCAGCGGGTGCCTGGGGTTCGTGCATGCGTTTTGGGCTCGAAAACGAACTTCTGTGGCAAACGCATGCAAACGAACTTCTGTGACTTCGAAATTCCATGAAATTCCCATCAAAGTTGCTTCAGTTTCTCTGGCTGTCTCACAGCTGGCGGTTGGCAACCGATTTATGCTGAATTGCAATTGAGCAATCCTCCAGCACATGCTGTGAGGTAGAGCTGCTGCAAAAGCAGAGATGAACTGGAGAATCGAAAGCCTGGGATGGAAATCCAAGCAAGCCGCAAGCCATGCCTCTTGGAGGGATTCTTCCCAGATCTAGGGGCAATATTTCTTCAGGAACTCCAGCAAGACCTTGCTCCCTTCTTCCGACTGATAGAAGTTGTAACCCTCGCTCCGGTTGCGACCTTTGGTCTTGAACGGAGGCGGTTGGTTGGGCCCTAAGAAATGCAGCTCATTACGCTTCCGCAAGGTCTCGTCCAGGCCCAAGCCCAGCTGCGCATGGATCTCCGGCGCAGCACGCTCGTGGTAGTCCTGGGGGTCATGAAGGGTGTCACAGTACAAGACAGGCACCTTGACATCTTTTGCGTACATCTTGGCAGAGATGCGCTCGACTGTGATCTTGATGCCTTTGTACTTGATGGCACCCTCCTTCTCATATTTGGCTTGGTTCTCCTGATAGGCCTCGTTCAGGAGTTCGGCATTGCCCAGTCCAAAGAAGAAGGGCCGGTCAGCAAACATGATGGGGCCGTGGAAAATGTTGGTGGTGGCCCAGGCTTTCACATTCTTGAACTTCTCCGGGAAGAGTGAGTTTGCCTTCATAAACGCCACACCCGACACACAAAACGGCAGCAAAGCGATGGCGCAATCTTTCAGGTTCTTCTGCGAATTCACCCAGTCCATAACCCCCACGGCATCCATAAACTCCACTTCCCCAAAGCCGGAGGGGAGGCGCTTCTCGGAGTCTCCATGATTGCGGAGGTCATACGCGACCACATGAAAGCCGGCGTCATACAAAACACGTTGGAGCTTCACATAGTCGATAGGCTCCACCACCATGACTCCATGGCGCTTGTGGTAAGCAGCGCCAGATTTGTTTGCACGAGCCCAAGATTGGTGCCCCACAATGGCCAGCTTTTTGGAGGTCTTCTCCTTTGCTGGGATGTACCAAGCAGCAAGTTGACAACCATCCAAAGCAGGAAATCGAACATCCACATAGTCCATGCCATGATCCTTTGGGGTTCGGACCATTTTCCTGACCTGGCCTCCGTTTTCGTCATACCAGGTCGCATCCATGATCACCGTGGCCAAGAACTTGTTCATCCCCATCTTATGGGCCATTCTTTGTGCGAAGCTCGGCTTGCTGTCCTTGGCCTTCGGCGGGAAACACGCCTTGAAGGCACCTTCCCAGCAGCAGGCGGCAAAGGTCTGCAGCATGCTTCGCTTGTCGGCACTGGTGAAATCGACAGCTCCACACTCCGCAAGTTCCAAGCTCTTTGAGCCTAAATTAGATATCTTGGAGAAAGTTCAAGAAATGCAGAAATGAGTGCAAACTTAAATGCAAAGCTGGTGTATGTCTGTCTCGAACACGTCCAGTACCTTCAATGCCCCTCAGCTCAGAGCTGCCAAGAGGATTCGTCACGAAGTTCGTGGTAGAAATACAATGCACCTGCCACAAATTGGCCAAGCCAGCTTCAGTGCAGTGTCAGTTTTGACAAATTTTAAAGCTTCAGCATTCATTCATGCGAGCTGCGCGCTTGCTATGCACCTGCCTTTCGAACATGATCCCGGAACAGAACCCTTGAACCATGGGAACCCTCATCGTTTCACAGACCACACGCCGCAAAATGGGTGGGCCAATTGGCCAGTTGACCCGGGTGGAACTTCGGGGCTGAACCGTCCGGCTCGGAGGTGGAGACGGAAGCGGCGGGTGGCCTGAAGCAGCATCCAGTTCTTCGGACCAGTGAGGCGGATACGGAAGGCCATGCGCTTTGCGCGCCACCTTCGATGGCCGAACCCGTTCGGGCGAAGACAAGAGTTCCTGGTCGACCGTCACTGCCGTTCCTGTCGAGACGCGCCTCAAGGACTTCCGGTGGCACCAAGGGAGAAATGGAGAGGCTGTCCAGAAACTGCAGCACGGTTCCGGTTGGTGCGAATGATTAACCCCACCCACCTCCCTGCAATGCCCCCGGTGCTTCAGCTGAATCGAACCGCCAGCACCAGGTGCCCACCGCCCGATCGGGTCGCTGCCCCGGACCGATCGCGCGGGCGTGGCCCATCCTTACTGATTCATTTAGCAGGCGCCTGCTGGAATTCAGTAAGGTGCCTACTGAATTAGGATAAATGATGTACGGGAGTATGCTCCTAACGCAGGAGAGCTCACGCTCGCACTAGTCATTTAGGTTTAGGGAAACCTTCCTTCTGCCCTTAACCGCCACTCGTCGACAAGAGGGGTAGACGTCCGCCGTTCAGCGTCGAACAAAGGAAGAAACGGGAAAGTCAGATGAAAGAGGTTGTCAGGGTTTCTGAACTGACTAAATGGTTCCAAATAGTTCCAGCAGCTCAAAAATGGTTTGGGCTCAGGTCAACACCGGAATGGGACCTAGCCCATGACGTGGGATTTTTAATTCATGGCTGTCTTGCTGTCTGTTGCCTGTGTAAACAAAACTCTGGGTGTTCACTTCTTGCACTTGAACATACTTAAACACTTCGGAATCAATAATCCAATCAGTCTCATGATGTGTTGACAGTCTCATGGCCTTTTTCGGCAGCCCGAATCGGGGCCATGTCTTTCTCACTCCGAGGCCACGAGAGCGTCGCGGAGTCCATGGCAGTCGCGGTTCGATCTCTCAACGTGTGTGAAAGATGGTGAGCGGTTCGCGTGGAAAGAGATGGGAGCATGGAATTCTCTCACAATGCAATCTCAAGTAGTATCTGGGAAGACAAGGTACCTGCCAAAGCTACTTCTAGGAGAAGTTGCCAAACAAAGGTGGTCTATCCCAGGATTTGTAACTTCGCAACCCATCTTCCTGGGCCATTTTGGCAGTTCATGCAGCCGCAGAGCAGGCAACTCTTCTTGCTCTCATCATGTCCATGTTCAGTCTCCGACTTAATTCGATATGCCAAGAAAAAGAGACGGAACTAGCTACAGCCGTTGCACAAAGCTCAAGCTTAAGTTGTTGCACTGTTCCGCGGAAGTGCAGGTGGCTGGAATCAGTCATTTCATGAAAAGGGTTGCGTTCCAGATCTCAGCGGCTGGCGCTAGATCCCTCAAGTGTCAACGACCAGTCTTGTCTTTTTCTTTTCGGTTTTGAACTCTAGGTTCAGATTGAACTTCGTTGGAGTGCCCGTGCCCAAGAGGGGGGTTGCACCAAAAACTGCACATACCAAGGCTGGTGGTCCAAGGCTGGGCGAGCGAACCACATGCACGGTTGCACCAACATCCGACCAAACACCACCTGAAAAAGGAATGGACGAGAGTTTTTGCCGTCTGGATCGATTTGGATCGCATCCCTGGCGAAAATGGTCCGATCAGTCTGGTGTGCACCCAAAGATTCACACGCGTGTGCCCCAGAACAGCACGCGAACAGTTCGTGATTAGTGATTACTGTAGTGAGAATGGTCAACAAATTGCCTTGTACTTAGTAAAGGAAGTAAGTCGGACTGGCCACCAGGTTCCATGTGAATCTTTAGAGGTGTAGATGGGTCTGGAACCAAAAAGCCTGACCAAGAGCTGATGCAGGCCTCCCTTAAATCTTCCCAGTTCTCCGACGACCTACCCGTCGACCTGGTCATAGTCCGCTGGGCGATCGGATGACCATCGGATGATCCACTGGGAAGTGTGATTCACAGCAAAGTGGTGATACTTTATTGGCAAAGATGTCGAAGGCATGATCGTTTTGATCATTTCTTCTAAATACCGGACCCTTCAGGTCCTTTCACGACCGTGCATCAAAGGATATAAAAGGTTCCCCGAAAGGAATGCGGCCGTGCCGCCGTCGCAAACGCCTGGAGCTTGGTGCCAGCGCATTCCCCTGTGCAAACGCGGCATGGCGCAAGGGTAGCCTGCACAGCCGAATGACAATATACCTGACTGCAATGAATAATTGACCATGTTGTCAGGACGTTGGAAAAACTTGGTGGGCACCTACAGATTTGGTGGGAACATGGAAAATTACTACAAATCTATAGACCTCAATCTAAAGAATTGTAGAAGCCTTGACATCATCTCTATTGACTTGTTTCCCAGAATGTTAAGACATGTTACAAGTACCACAGACCTGCTTCATACATAAAACCGCAAAGGAGGCATTCTGAATGTGGTAGCGCATCCATGAGGCCAAGTACCTTTGGGCCGATCCTTGAGGTGTTCATCAGCCTTTCCATGGCTAGCCATAATCAACGGCAAATACTCCCACAGCAGCAGCAGCTGCGCCACTGACAGGTGTTCACTGGCAATTGCCTTGGATTGACTGATACAGGGTCTCGCCTAGAACAACAGAATATGGCCCATTTGAAGGGAAAAACAAAAAATTATATATATATATATATGTATGTATTTATGTTATAGTATATATATATATTATAATAAAGCCCTTTGAGCAACATGAGGCTGCAATGTCTAATGGTGTGGACAAATCATTTGCAGCCTTGCGTTCGTCAGCTCCAGCTGCCAGCAGCCACAACACAGCCTCCAGGTTGTTTCTCTCAGCTGCCAAGTACAGTGGTGTCGAGCCAAACCAATCTTGTCGGCCAAGATCTGCCCGGGCTTCTAGCAGCAACGATATGCATTTCCAATTGCCAGCCCATGCTGCAGTGTGTAGTGCTGTCCAGCCAAAATCACGTGTGACGTCTGGCGCTAGTGGTTTCTGTAGCAGCCTTTCCACTTCCTCAGCAATTCGTGGCACACGCCATAAGGAGCTTCTTGTTGCACTCGTGGGATTGCTCGAAATCCACGACAAGGAGCTGCACCGTTGAAGGAAGGACCTCCTGGTAGAGGAGACCACAAACCGAACAAAACGAAATGACTTCCCACGAGCGCAGGAAAACATCCGAACCCAACAGAAAATACAGATCACAGCTCGCCTTTCATCCACAAAAAAAGCCCTTGAATTCAACAATGGCTTGCGTTGAGATAAAATGTATTGGGGTCACTACAACCCATTTCTATAGTATTTGTCATGCTGGTTTACTACCCCTGTCATCTCTAGCATTTGCCGTTTCTAGCATTTGTCATTTGCTACCCCTGTGGTTTGTCTTGCTGGTCATCCACATGGACATGCAACATGGACCTCGCACAGGACCCATCTTCCTCTACAATCTCTGCAACTGCAGCATGGATAATGTGAATGACAACAAGGGTAGGTTTTGAGACCTCTCCTGGTCGTCCAACAGACGTCCAAGATCTTCTGCAAAGCACCTTTGCTGGAACCTTGTAAATCCAATCCTCAGTGGCAGAAATGATCTCTTTCCACCTACGGTCCCAACATAGGAACAGGTACTGTCCATTTCAGAAAGGCTATTGCAGCCACTGCCACGACTACCATATCTATACCAGGGTACCTCGTTGAAGCCTGAGACTTCTTATGATATATGGAGCCCGTGTTCACCTTGCTCCGCATCATATGAACAAATTATATCAACTGCTTGATCTCTTTGGGGAAACCAGGTCCATTGGCTCTGACACTGGGCGACCTGTCCCGTCCTGTCCAAGAAGCAAATCTCTTCACTACAAAATCTTTCACTTGGATTGCCCCAGAGATTGGAGGTCTTTGGAAGCTTAGCTGAAATCAGATTGCAAGTTCCTTCTTCAACCAACTATGCGCCTCTTGAAAGGTGAGCCGCAAAGTAGAGGCACTAGCTTGGATGGTCAATTGGCTTGGAGGAAAAAAGAATGCCAGAAATGCAAGAGGCTAGGTCAGACATGGTAACACTGCACATGTAGTCTACTTGTCAGGGTATGCTTCTCAAAAGGTTGTATTTTTTGTATCGAGAGATTCATGTGCTGCGACAGTCCAAAGGGACACCAATACACCACAAGCTGGACTACCCTTCTCAGTACTGCGTGGGTTCCATTGGGCACTCCATAAGTTGAGGTCATCCAGATGTTTCGTGAGTCAACAAGTGTGAATGCAGGACCGCAGATTCCAGGGCGGTCGTCCATCCAATGCAAGCATCAAAATTAAGTACATGAAGGCAAATAATGCTTGAGGTCTCTATCAAAGGTAGGCCATCCTTAGGTGCATTCACTTGAAAAATACGATCGCAAGCGGTGCCATTACAGAAGACAGAGAATCAGCTTGGCCAACATCACCTTGAGCCACCGTACCGACTTGCCCTCCACCTGCTCTGGAGCAAAGGTGGCTACAGCTCGGCCAGACTTCGCCCAAAGGACACGAAACATCTGCTCGCGTTCTGTGTTTCTTCTAAACCTAACCTTGAACCGGTGCTGCCTGGCGCAAGGGTTGAGCCCCGGCACAAACGAGGCAGCTTTGACTCCGAGTTTCAGAGACACACAGTTTGGTTCGGCCTGATCAAACACCAGCTCTGGAGATGACAAAGGAAACAACTGACAGCTGATCATATTTTCTCTGCTTCCGTCTGCTGACATTCTCCAATTCCCGCGCGCACTTCGCTCACCAAACGCGGTGTTTTCTCCGTGTCCCGTGGTCTTCGCCCGAGGTCCAACGTGTCTTCGTGACCCGGGGCGAATCGCAGTGAGGCGAAACCCGGGTGAATCGCAGTTTCGTGCACCGCCTGATTCCTTTTTTGTTGGTTCTCAAATTCTTTGGCAACACAAGGATTGATTGCAAAATGGTTGATTTGTACAAACTGTATAAAGATCATGTCTAAAACATATCTTACAATATTGGTTGTAGTTAGTTGTCACTTAAAGTGCGCTTAGAATTCCTTTCAATAGCAAATAAGTTACAGGACAGTCTTAAAAGTCCAATCAAACCCTCTTAAATGCTTGAAAAACTTACTAGGACATTGACCGTGATGTGAAATGTGGATTAAAAACCAGCTGATGTTTGTTTTCTTGTGTTTAACTTATTTTGTTTGAAAACTCCTGTTCCAAATGAAACACAACCTTTATGTGTAACGGGTGTCAATATTTTAAGTTCTTTCTAGAATCAACTAGTGCATTGATGGTAATTTTGTGTCCAAATAGAAGCTATACAAAAAAACACACATGTTGATTTGTAATTGAATCCTGTCAAAACCTGTTTTATACATACTGGTTCCGCATAAATATACATGACGTTCTGCCACGTGGTCGCAAATTAAACAGCCCTTTGATAAAGCATTGAAAATCAACGAAGACTATTGGTGTTTAATTGTTGTCCACTTGAAACCACTTGCAGTGCCGTGCTCTAAATCAATTTGTATGTGGATGTTGAATGTGTGTCCAATGAACGACGTTTAAAACAAACATCGAAAAAAAACACAACTTTTGACGTGTCATGTGTAGTAAACAACAATCAATTCATTGGTAGTCAATGATTCTCTTACTAATTGACATTATCAGGTTATGGTTAACATGAACTAGAGCTTTGATTTGAGTTGGTGTCCAATCGACATCACTTTGTAAAGGCTTCCCAAAAGGAATTCGTTAATCGATATCAAGGATATGGATTTGCAATGGGTGTCCAATCAAACTCCTTGCAAAGTCTTCTTAAAATCAATGAGCATATTACGTTGCAATGTGTTTTCCGTAAATAAGGCAGCAGCCTTAAGGACATGCAGTGGTTCTTTTTCTGGCGGATCTTCATACTGCGTAATATTGCGGATGCAGCAGTCATTGGACAGTGCTGCTGGGCTGCTAGGACTCACTAGCTCATACTAGCTCAATCCCTGAGGATGGAGTATATAAATCCTTTTTCTGCCCCTTCCCAAAAGAACTTGCGTTGAGCTGAAAACACTGCCCAACCCACTGGCCTGCTGGAAGTCCAAGTATATCCTGCGTAAACTGAAGAAAACTGAATCAAATCAGTGCAGAATAAACGATGTGCTGCTGGTGGCCCAAAAATAGCAAAATCTATGATTGGATAATGCGATCCTCATCGATCCTCAATTTGCCAACCAAGCTCACCAATTTCGAGGAAGCCGTTAAAGAAACACGGTCCGTTGTGCTGTTTTATTCCTCGATGAGAGCTTAGGCCCTGGCGGCTGCTTCAGGCCGCTCCATTCGAAGAGCGATGCCAAGCCTCCACTCAAAGCCTCAAAGGCATGCAGAAGAGGTCTCGGAAGAGGTCTCGGATATTGTAGTAACGAACGCCATAATTTCGGTACATGTCGGTCTTACCCTCCCTCCAAGAATCAGGAGAAGGGAGGAAAACGGCCCCTTAGTAGAGGCAAAACCGGGAAAACCGTCTTTCAAACGCACAGGTTCCACTTCAGGGTATGGTGATGGTACCTTTATGTTCGTGTGGAGAAAAACGGAAAGCCCGATTCTTTTCGCCCCTTCATAACCGAGAAGTCGCCGGTGGCAGAATTTCTATGGCCTTTCACCTGCCCACCTTGTTTTCAAGCGGGGGTCTATCCAGCACCCATTGAAAACCCCATTGCCAAAGGGGGTCGGATGTTTTTCTATCAACCACCCAGTCTCTGGGTGGTTCTGGATGGAGAACTGTTGTTTCTCCTCTTGGAGAACTGTCTTATCATTTCTGGTTCCCACTCGTCAAGATGTGGAGAAAAGATATCAACAAATCAGACTTTCCGCGCTTTGTTTCTCATCTTCTCTAGCACTCACCTGCAAGGGACGGAAAAGGTCCAAATCCACCGCGGCTGGGATTGTGTGGGAGCTGTAGGGAGCTGTTAGGGTCATCATTCCGTTCATCATGCTCCCTTCCTCTTGCAGGGTATCATAATTAGATGTGTTCTTGAAACTTCAAGCACTGTCGTCCACCTGACCTGAACTCCAAGATCTACTGGGCAACCCTGCCGAGAGCTGCTCATCAATAGCAGGATACATGAAATTGGAACTCGCAAAAAACAGAATCACTCGATTGTTCGTGCTCTATTACAAAATGATTCGAGCACGGTTGATCTACTGGTTTATGATGGTTTATGTAATTGGTTTAGGGTTGTTTTGGATGTGTCTTGCTGTTCAGCTGGAGAGTGGCTTGTGACTTTCTGAGAGGAAACACTTGGAGATAGAAAGCTGAAGTCACTTTCTTCAGACAAGAAATCAAAGGCATCCCGGTTGAATGAATCCTATAGATTAGCTTGGTTTTGCTCACATGCTGGCGACTTCAACTTGATCAATTGAACAGCAAATCGAGCCGAAAGGACGGACATCGCAGATCGAGACCTCCGAAATGGATGACATCGAGACTCGTTTCGTGTCTTCGCTGGATCGGGCGAAGATGGCAAGAACGAACGAAGCATCTGGGCGTCGCTTGGCCTGCTCCATCTCTTTTTCCGTTGCGAAGATGCCGGAGGTCGGTCATGGGGATGAGCTTTGGTTCTGTGTTTATCTGCGTTCGGATGTTTGTGTATGTATATATCTGAATCTCTCCGGGATTGCAACGTGGATGCTCTTGCTGCTCAAGAAACGCTCATTCATACTTCCTCGTAGGGTGGAGGCCATCGCCATTAGGTTGGAGGCCATCGCTTGGTCCAGTGAATTCTGCTGAATCTGCTGCCAAACAAGGATGGATGTCTGCTGAATTGTCTGCTGACACAGTTGCCCTACACAGCTATGGCTTTGTAGCCTTCCAGGTCATACTCATTGGATGCAAAGGTACCCTTGAACCTTAGCTGATGATAGGCCAACGATTTTCAGAAAATGCTCGGTTGTGGCTGAGCTCCCCAACGCATCTTTCATTTGCTTGATCCTTTTCGGTAAGACCTACCACTGTCGGCGAATCGAACGTCTCAAGAAGAGGTCAAGTTGCAGCTGGATGAGGACAGGGGTTCTGCGAAGGAAAGCAGGCATGATTTAGCGCGCCTTGTCGACTTGGGGAAGCCCATCTTGCTTGGGGACGTGTCCCCAGTAGCGCTGATGAAAGTCGCCCCAAAAGTCCTCACATCCGGCGGAGCTGCGACAGAGGTCGGAACGGCCTGACCTTCATTGGACTTCTGGATTCGTTGAAGCAAAACAAGATAGACCCCGGCCAGCCCATCTCAAATACACATGGAAGTCTGGAAACTGGAAGAGGAGGCAGGTTCCCAATCTTCTATATATGTATCTAATTAATAGTAACTATATGCACTATGATTGCACTATGCTATTTAACATTCAGAAAACGACGTTATGCGGGTGTGGTTTTTACGCGTTTTTGTGATTTGTGGTTTTCTGTGTTTTTTGAAAATGTTAGTTGTTTTGAAGAACGTGTCTAGCAAAAATGTCGACTTGTAATCTATCAAATTTCTCATCAATCTGATTCAAACATACTAGTTCTCATTGATTCCCACACAGAAGTCCATCAACCATCATCCATCAGCAAGTCCACGACATCCCATCATACAACATCAGGTCATCACCTCTATGAGGGAGATCTGGTCTCCAAGACCTCCAATCTCAATCAGTCCTCAATCTCCAGCAACTGGGGCCTGGGCCTGGGCTTCTCTAGGGGGGGGGGG